TCGTTTTTTTTTTGGTCAAAAGGGTTTTAAATCGTTATTTATGCGATTACATTGATTTTTGGGAGGTGTCACACGTGAGAGTGTGATGCGTGTGAGTTTTAGATATGTATATTCTCTTAATTGGCCATGGGCTAAATTGATAATGGGCCTACATTTATTATTGATTTTATGACTCTGCTAATTACCAGCAAAGAGGTTTTAACAAGCCAATTATAATGTTTAACATGTTTCATGATAACCTCTATATGACTTTGCTTAGTAATCTATTTTTTCTCAATCTTTGCCAATTATCAACAAAGCCTCAAAACGTGACATAATAAAACTCATCATCTAATCACTTGATTCGGTTTATATCTCCACTCATTACAGTCGTTAGTTATATCAATCCTCCTCCTCCTAACATAATAAGTGTTTTCTTTACTTTGTGATTCAAATTTATGGCAGGTCAAAGAGTAGTGTAAGTTTGTAACTTGTCAGTTGAACCCAAAAACTGAGTAGTAATTGACTTTTCTTTAATAATCTCTCGGTTTAAATTTCTTTGCTTGTTTCCTTGAGATGAAGTACCTACTTTTGTATATTTTAGCCAACAAAGAGTCTTGATGGCCATTTTGTTTAACCAAAAAAAGAGATAAGAAAATAAGCTAAAGGTCGTTTATTTAGTTGATCAATCAAGATACTTAGAACATGAGAAATGGATGTTCTTGAATCGATGGTTTCCAGTATATCAAAGATGCAGCTGAGGTTATATGCACAAAAATTTGACAAAAAAACTGGCGATTAGCCAAAGATGAATTTCCAACATACAGTCATTATATGAGCAAGGCCGTAGTTTGCAGAGTTTAAGAGTTGCTCGGCTCCTGTGTTTATGTGATCTTTTTCAACAAGAATTTGTTTACTTGCTTACACATGGTCATATACTTGCTTACACATGGTCATACATCCAATCCTTATTATTTCTCCGCTCTGGCTACATCGTTTTTAGGGTATTTTATTCTTTAGTGACTGATCTTTCTTATTTTGGTGCAGAAAAGAATCATGTATAACAATAATCCTCTTGTATATGCACGCTACGAGCTCCCTCAAATAGCTATAAGGGCGGTTGCATGTAACACATTTTCTCTTCATTCTAATTTCAACAATATCAATACCTTTGCTCTCGCTGGTTTGAGAAGGGTTTGCTGTTGTTCTGTTCGTCGTCATGGACAGGCGTTCTTGGTGGAGAGTGACCATAATGCATTTAATTTGGATACACGAGTAAGATATTTATTTCGTTATACTGGATTTACTTTTATACCTACTATGATAATATCCTTATTTATGTTTTTATTGAAACAGATGCACGAATCATTTCGTGTCGTATGCCGGGGATGGATACAACAGAAACGTGTTATAAAAGGAATAACAACATATAAAGATTATTTTTATATCCTTGCTGCAAGTGATGTAGGCGTAGTAAGAGTCATCCATCCTCGCAATTTCAAATTGGATCAGGTAAAAGTAACACATTCAGGTGTCTTAATACCTTTTAACATACTTAGTTTAACATTTTGTTTTTTTTTTCAATTTAGAGTTTGGAGGGACATACTCATCCCGTTACTGATATAAGATCTCACATGACACACCACTCGCTTACCTGCACTGCCAGCTAAGTAAATCATTTTCTTTTACGATCTTTATCCTTTTTTATAGCACTAACTTGTAAACAATTTTAGAAATCTATTCGGCTTTAGAGTATTAAAATAGGTGTATGCGTTCAGAAATTTGATCATATTCCTCCCCCAACTCAGTTTTCTTCTACGGTAATTATATACCTTAATTAGACTTACTTTAAAGAGTATAATTTATTTAGATAACTAATTTTTTTTTTTTTANTTTCAGGATCTTCATATAAATGATCGTTTTGACATCTTAAGTTGTGGGCAAGAAACATGTGTCAGACTATTGTATTTACTGTTGTATTTGTCACGTATGTCACTAACTAACGCTTTCTTCTTTGATATTTTATTTTGCTGGTGGTTTGTAAGTTTTAATATATTGATTTTATCTTTATCATATATCAAGCTTGGAGACCGCGATGGTTAATCTGGAGGACGACCAAGACCAGAGATATGGAAAAGTACAGACCACTACAAGCACTTAATATGAACTCCAACATGAATTTTGAACGAATTTTGTTCGGTCTCTGGATAGGGCTATTGTAACAAATGTATGTTAGTTTATTTTAGCACTTGTTACAAATTCTAATATGTTTGTTGAACTTTCTAATACAATTTGTTTTGTAGTGTGAAAATGACCACTTGGTTCTTTTTAACTATATGATACATGGAGACCAAGATTACCAGCGCACATGTATAGACATATTACCTCCTACAACCGGCAGATTTGAGCCTAACTTCCACCAGATAGTTGCAGTGGGTAGGTACTCGAGTTATTATATATATTTAGTTTTCTTTTGGCTACTCACGATTTTTGTGTTTGGTTTTGGTCACTAGGAAACGCTGAAGGAGAGATAACAATATGGATTTCGGGGATCCTAATCATTATGTATCGGTTGTAAAGTAAGTAAAATCTTTAGTGAATATGGTTGGGTTGATTTTTGACCTAATAATTTTCTTTTTTGCAAAAAGGTTTCCAGACCCTCATGGTTTACCGATCATAGCAACAACCATTTCTAATGATGTTACATAAGTGTGATTTCTTTTAGTTTTGATACTTTTCAATTTCAATAACAAATGGACAAATTTATGTTTCTTTTGGTCTTTTGTAGCACTGTGATTACCATCAACAATCAAGGACAAGCTACTATCTGGTGATGACCACCATCACCACCTTTCATGATTATAATATGATATATGTTGCTCTACATTTTTAGTAATTTTTGTGTGATATTGTATCAAGTTTTATAGATTAGGAGATAACTTTTGATAAAATTTTGGGATGTTATGCACCCACCACTGACAGCCTGATCTAGTAATGCAAGACTCGCTTGGTATTTCTTTAAAATCTGCATGATCTTTATGTATTTAGTGACTAAATTGATGAGAATACATGATTAGCTCAAATTGATGAGGCTGCTGTTTGGGGAGCTGTCAATTGTTTTCCCTATTTTAAAAAATTAGATTGATTCATCATTACCGATTTGCTTTAAGAATACTCTCATACAACATTTGGCAGCCTGTGGTGGTAAGTTTTTGCCATACCATTCAAAAATTTTAGCACTTGGTTGTTAGCTAGTATGAGGCCATCTCACAAATCCTAGTCATGTGGATAAGTGCTGTTTGGAAATTTATGTCACTCAAACAAACAAAGACGTCCGTCTTATGACTTTAAAGGTTTGTGTTCCATTTGAAACTTTGTTTACTAATCCATGTTCTAAAAGCCTCCTCCAAAAGAAGTGATTCAAAATTCTTTCTCTTAGAGGAATGTTATGTGAGTAAAAAGCAAGATTTTTTTTTTTACTAACAGTAGTACCTATATGAATTTTTTCTCTACACTCTATCATGTCTCGTAACTAATGTTTCCTTCAAATTACGAGGTTCTTCAGTTGAACAGCACACATTTGAAAAGTCCCCTATTACAGTATCCACTCAAATAGAGTTTGGTTAGTTTGATCCATGGGCGAGGTATCCACTTGTTACTACCACTTTTATTCTTTTATGTTCCAAATGGTGGCGTAAGACTCATGTGGTTGGAAGTTAGTAGTAAGACTTTGAATGGAGAATCTTAGATTTGGTGGTCATGATTACAAAATTTAGATTTGGTGGTCATGATTACTTCATATATTTGGCAGATATGAAGTAAAAAGGCAAAGAATAGAGGTTATTTCTAATAAAAAAAGCCAAAGAATAGAGCTATATAACCTTTCATATGCTTGCAAGGGAAATAAAGTGAAGTTTTGGCCATAATATATCGACGGTAATGAGTTATTTGCAAAAGAGTTTATATTATGAGCTATTTACATAGGTATTCGTAAGGTTTTTTACTTGTATCCCATTGTAGAATAGTTGAACTGAATCGTGTCAGGTGTTGTCAAAGATAAAAGTGGGACCATTATAGATCTCTAATTTCTTAATGGGTTTGCCACTCATGGTGGTTCAATCAAGAAGATGAAATGTCAAGTTTGTTGAAATCTGGTTTCAACACAAGAGTTCTTGATAAGTTGGGATAAGCTCACACTGGTGGAAATGGTGTTATTAAATTTGACATGAAGGAGAAGTTTTCTTTGAAGGCTCAGTTGAAAAATGGGATGTATGTTATAGATGCAGAGAAGTGAGAGTTGTTCTTTGGACTCAAAAGAGAAAGAACACATGACACATTTGGACAGATGAGTACGAAGAAGAAGATTGGACCA